TCTAATATATGCACATTTGTCGTTTTGTAACTTTAAGTTGAAGAGCAAAAAAATGTAAATTTATTGTCATTTCATTAGTTAATTTGTTAAATTTATCTAAATATGCACATTTTTAGTTGCTCAACATCTAATATATGCACATTTTTTGTTCTTCAACTTTAAGTGAAGGAATTAAAAATATACATATTTAGATAAATTTAATAGATTAATTAAATAAATGATTAAAAAATACATTTTTCATAATTGAGGATAAAAAAAGTGCACAAAAAAATTGATAGACAAAAATTATATAAAATCCTAAAATTGAAGATCAAAATTGATGTTTAACCAAACAAAGAGGATGACGCAATGTGGGGATAGATAGTGGATAAGTTCTCTTCTTTACTTAATGTTGGCTTGTGGACAACGGTAATGGCCCTATTCTCTTTTATCATCCATGAAGTAATCTACGCGGAAAAAGCTTTTACAATTAAATGGGCTCATTTCTATTTTTTCGGCCGAAAATGGGCTCAACTTTATGTAACTGGCTGATTGGTTTATTTATTTGATTCTCTATGTATGTGCTTTTGTTGTTGAATCAGTTTGATTTGATGATTTATCTGGTTCTTGAGGATGGGGTTCTAAACCCAGAACAGCTGTGCTGTCTATATTCCGAACTCGCTTATATTATGCATGCCTAACTGAAGTCCAGTGGCATGAAATATCTTGGATAAATATAGCATAGGGGGCTAACTTTCACATTTTGGTAGAGACCCTGCTGGCTTGGGTCATTAAGTCAAGAAAAGATATTCACATGATGCTTGATCATGGAACAAGGTCTTAAGTACGTGCATGACTTTGGGACCTTAAGTGGCTAACATCCTTCCTTTCAAGGTACACAATATTCAAGATTTACTGTGTTAACCAAAATTATGGCATTGTTCTTGTCATATAAATACATGAAATCTCTAATTTTTGTTAATTGATTCTTATTGAAGTCGCTGCATTTGTGAGAATCGGGGTAAACGACATTATTTAATTCAACAAGAGTTCAAAACCTCTTCATATTTGGGTACTAATGTACCTTTTCTTCATACAGAAATAGAAGTCATGAAATAATTGAATAATTTCATTTATGGTAATTATTCTTTTTTATTAACCTAATTACATCTAATTAGGCTTGCATGCATTTTATAGATGGAAACACTTGCAAAGAAAAAGGAAAATACTCTTAAGGTATGTTGCTTCAGCGGTTGGAAATTGCTTATCAAATGTTATAAGTATAATTGTGAAAATTAGCATCTTTTAATACTTTAAATTTTAAGATTTTTTATAAAATTATTTAAATATTTTTAATAAATTTTTTTTTTCATTCATAGTATTTTAATACCAAAATATCTTAATTTTCTTCAATCTTATTATTTTTTAATTTATTAACAATAGTAATAAACGAAATTACTGACCATCGCTATACCAAACACTCAAACACACCCTAGACTAATGTTAAAAAAGAGAGAAAAAAAAAAAAAAGAAAAAAAAAAAGGGGTCGCAAAAAACGGTGAAAAACCATGTGAACCCAACAGGATGGGTTACACAGGATTTATCATCCACTACCACTGCGGTATTTTTGAGAGGGCACCGTTTACTAAAACCCAACAGGGCTTGCAGATGGACAATTCAAGTCCAACTTTTAACAGGCCCTTTGCTATTCCACGTAGATGGCCCGAAAGGCCTATTTGGTCTGGTCCCTAATGACGAGCAGTTGAAAAAATAAACAGAGAAAAAGACAGACAAAGGATGTTGATTTCACCCCACCGATGGTTGTGAGCCAGGTTGTCGAGAACTATTTTCAAGAATTGGGGATGAAGAATATCTTCCCAGAACCATCAGTGGGGAGGATTTAAGGGAAGATCAGGAATTGGAAATTGGTTTTTTATTTTTTGTTGTTTGATGATGATTTATTAAGTGCTTGAGGATGGCGTTTTAGATCCAGAAACAACAGTGGTGTCACTGTTCCCAACCTCCATATATTAGGAATGCCCAAATGCAGTGGCATTAAATATATGGGATAAATGCAGGGGCTAGCTTTTACATTGTTGGTACACAAACTTGGCAGAGACCCTGATGGTTTGGGCCATTTAGTCGAGAAAAGAGATTCACATGATGATTGTATTAAGGTTTAGAGCATGGAAAGGCAAGACGAGAATCGGAAAAAAGGCATTTTATTATAATTGATTGATGTATATAGAGAGTGTTACATAGAGTAACTTTTATAGAGGTTTTAGGGTAGATAATATAATAAAATAAGGGTGTGCGTAGGATTATGGTTGAGAGTCTTCTTTTAATTATATAATATTTATATATATATATGTGTATATTTGATACTTTTTTTAGATTATTT